GTCTCTATCTCTTTTATAATAACTCCTATTCTGGATGTACCTAAGTCATTCACTCAACTAACAAATATTGTGCCCACGTTGTTTATCTAAGAATCGCTATGTACATCTTCTAAACATATGTCTCAGCAATGGGAAAGTTTTACTTTTTAAAAAATTTTGCATAAGGATTTTATTGCAGCATTATTTATAATTTTCCCAGGGTTCAGCATGATGCCTGGCATGTAATTACTGAGTGAAATAAACACATGAACAAGCCTTAAAGAACAAACCAATGGTGAAGTAACTCCATGTTATAGGATTCTCTGTAGGCATTTTAAAGAAAAGAATAAAATAGTTCCAGAGGCTCTGACTTAGAAAACTGTCTTTGTTAAATGAAAAATATAAGCAGAAAGAAAACACACACACACACACACACTCACACACACCATTTTTGTGACACAAACACCACTCCCCTCTGAAAAATACATACCCAAACTATATAGTACCTCTTGGCATGAAATATAGAAGGCCAGAGTGTGAGGGGAAACCTATATTTCTTGACTATTTTTCAATGAGCCTGCACAGTAATTAAAAACAACCACCCAAGCTATAATGGAACTTAGAAGGTAGCAAAACTATGAGTACATGCCATAGGTGCGCTTACTCTAGTTGGAGAGACAACACCCAGAACAACTAGAGATTAAGGCTGCTCACCTTGTGGATTCGGGTTTCAGATATTCACCCTGTGCCAGACCCATCCGATGAGCCAAGATATACCATTTAGTGAGTACTTAGTGTATGCCAGGGACTATGCCAATTGATTTCCACTATATTATCTCATTTAATCCTTTCAGTGACCTTCTGAGGTAGGTACTCATAATGCCCTTCTCTACACATGAGATAACCAAAGATAAGAGATTGCCAATTTCCTGAGATCACACTCAAGTAAGTGGCATCGTCAGGGCATAAAATCAGGACTTTCTGGTCCCAGAGTTCATACTTTTGACCATCATTCCCTAAATTGTATCATCTACATTGATGTAATAATAATCTTACTTTTTTAGTTTAAAAAACTTTTATTATTTATTAAAAAGAGAAGGTAATAGTCCCATATTGTAGAGCAATTTGAAAATAAGCGGGGGGGGGGGGGAAACCACTGTTAACATTTTATTGTCTGATCTGCATTCTTTAGATTTCTACTGGTTAACATAATTTCAATATCATACATATGATTCTTATTCTGATTTTTAAAAAATTTTTATTGATTGATTTAGAGAGAGGGGGGAGGGGAGAGATGGAAAGAGAGAGACATTGATTTGTTGTTTCACTTATTTGTGCATGCATTGGTTGCTTCTTATGTGTGCCCTGACTGGGGATTGAACCTACAACCTTGGTATATTGGGATGACACTCTAACCAACTGGGCTACCCAGCCAGGGCTTCTAATTTTTTAAAAAATTAACAGAATATCATGTGCTCTTTCCTCACAATTATTATATTAGTGGCTCCATGGTGTGCCAAAAAAAGTATGTGCTTGTGCATCTGTGTGTAATTGAACATAATCTGAAATCTGGTAGCCCAATTATTAACTTGGGAGCAGTTTAGTATAATATTTTTACATTTTATTAATGAAAACTCTTAGACTACCTTTTTTATAGTTATTACTACTATACTATGTATATAGTTGTTCTAATTAAACAAAAAGTGTTGGGGGTATTCAGGAAAGTAAACAAAAGGCACTATATGACACATTTTATTATTATTATTGCCCATACTTCTGGACTAGAGCAAGATGGGGAGGGTGCGGAGAGAGTAACAGGTAGCTTTGCAGCAGTCCAAGATGGCAGTGGTCTAGGTTAAGAGAGTGGTGATGGGAATGTAAGAAGCAGAGTGGATGGATTTCAGGTATAATGGACAGCATTTGAAGATCAATTGGATATGGGAATGAAGCCACAATAATTCCTACTTTTTTTGTTTCTTACTTGAGCACTTGGGTGGAGGGTGGTACCTTTTACCAAGCACTACAGGGAATGCCAAGATAGAAATATGTTTGTGGAGTATGGGGCACGGCTACAGTGTTTTGGCCAGGTTCAAACCTCGGACTAATGAAAGGACAGGGTCCTCTCATTGCCATGTGCAAGTCCCAGCTGGAGGTCAGGGCCCTCCCAGCACAATTATAGCCAACAGCTGTGGTTGTTAGCTTGAACCTATGGTCCAAACACGTAGCCCCACGTGCCTTGTGCTAGAGTTCAGGTGCATGTAGTTGAGTGAGGTTGAAACTCACAAGAATGCTGTAAACAACGTGATCACGCCCCTACTTTGCCTCGTGGCATCTGCTATAAAATAAAGACATGGCTTGTGGGCGCTGGCGCTGTCTCCTCATCAGGGAGCAGCGTCCCACCGAGACCCAGCTTTCATTCTCTTATCTGTCTTTCCTTAATCCTTTCACCCCC